TGTGTGTGTGTGTGTGTGTGTGTGTGTGTGTGTGTGTGTGTGTGTGTGTGTGTGTGTAATGTGTGTAACCAAAACTGCCATCGAAAGAAGTATAGATAGGTTACACATCAGTATATACAGTGGGCTCCAAGGCCACTATTTAAAATAGTTTTTTTTTTTTATACATTTGGTTCATTATGTATTTTAAACAGTTTTTCTTTACATATCTTATTTTTTGTTTGTTTGTTTAATTTTATTTTTATTTTTTTAATTAGATTTTTAGTGTTGTCTCAGACTTATAGACCTAAGCCAGTTGGCCATGGGCAACCTAAGTTGTGCAAATAAAATGTTCAGAATTATAGTAATTTTAAATATTTTTTTCATTACATAAATATTTCTGATTTATTTCACATCATTACGTAATTTCTTAAATACATATATTAAATATATCTGAATATTCATTTTACTTTTTTTTTTTCTTCTTCCTTCTGGTTCATTTCCAGGTTTAAATTAGATTTTCAATGTGGTCTTGGACTTTCAGAACTAAACCAATGTATTTTTCCTTTCATACCTTAAATATTTCATATTATTTTATGTATTTAATTTCCACGCCATTCCAGGTTTAAATGTAATTTTCAATGTGGTCTCAGAGTTTTAAACCTAAGCCAGTTGTTATGAACACCCTAAATTTTACAAAGTGTCCAGAATTATAGTAAAAAGGTGCAAACAAATGAAACGAAACAAACAGAATTATTTATGTTGTATCTCTGTTGTGCGTTAAAGCATGCTTCAGCCCGTTGTCTGTCTGAAGCAGAGGAGACAGATGTCTAGCTCAATCGTTCTGATCAGCGTCACAAAAAAACAAGGGCTATAGCTGCCCGTGGTATGGAACAGTAATCACACTTTGGTGTGCTGATCCTATTTTGATTGAGGTTGTAAAAGTGCCGTAATGTAATTTGGAACAAGCAGAGACTTGCTGAAATGGCCGTGTTGCAGGTGGAGTTATTTCATTGTTAAGCCTCTTACTGAAGGGCACCACTGTAGCTCGTAAATCTCTGCTGCCTAATTTGGAGGAGCAAGGGCAGGAGAGAGCGTTCCGGCCCAGCCAGGCCACTCGCTCAACAACCATAACACGGAACAAAGGGCCACTGCACCGCCATCTTATCAGTAGTGATATTTTTAAAGTTGATTACTGTCTCACATTGCTTCTTCCACAGTGTAATTGCAAATGTCAAGCACTGACATTTGGTAAAGACACAGACAGCATCTTTTTGTTTAATTTGTATTTTTTCATTTGAACAATTAGATGACAAAGGGAAATCAGAGACCTACAAGTATATGCGTCTGCAGTATTTGTCTCTAATATTTTGCTGTGCTGATAAATTTCTAACAGAGCCACACTAAAGCAAGCTTGCAGTGTTTTAGAGTTTGGGTTTCTGTTACTAGTTTGTCTCTAATACAAATCAGACCGTGTTGGGCCCAGTATCTGGTATCATATCAAATATAAATAAAAAAGATGCACAATATAAATATAGCAGTTGAGCATAACAAATATTAAGTAATTTGATGAAATGAAAAAACATGTACTGTGGTATACATGGAAATTATACATAAAATTCCAGGACAGAAAATATTTAATAGTTTTTATCACAACATAGTGAACACTTTCTCCCCAACTTAAAGGAACAGTTCACCAAAAAAATAGGAGAGGAGAAATTTTGAGGAAATTTACCTGCTTTTCTGATCCATACAGTGACCAAAGCTGTTAAAGCACCATAAATAAAATAAAGCACAAATTCAAGTTGTTCAGTTTGGCAGATATGGCAACTTTAGATGCAAAGGCCAGAATTTGATGCTATATGTGTAAAAAAGGAGCATGTACATTTTTCAAAATTTCTCCTGTTGTGTTCCTTAAACGAATAAGTCATACAGGTTTGGAATGACATGAGTGAATAAATTATTTTTAGGGTGAACTATTCCTTTAAGTAAAGCTATAGTTTTTGAATATTTCACCTTTCTATATCCATAACATCTCCAACGAAGCTCAACCTTCAGGCAGCTTTAACACTCGCACATGATGTGTTTATAAAGCAGAGAGCTTGTGACATTCACAGGCCCCTCAGTAACGTCCTTCTTGAGAGGCGTTTCAGTAAGAGAAGGCTCAGTTCAGGGTGCTTGTTCAGCACTGAGAGTGCTTGTGGTACGGGGGACAGACTCACAGCGGAGCCATCACTCACAGCTCTCTGAGTGATGAGGATTGATTTTGCCATGTAGTCATCCATTAAAAACCACACACCAAATTACTCTTCTTTTTCTTTTTTCTTCCCCTCTGTCATTGTTCGAGCTCATGCCCTCCAAACAATGACAGAGAGGTAAAAGAGAGTTTGATACGGACTGAAATAAATCCCCACCCACGCACATCGCTCAAACCAACTCTTTGAAAAGAAAATTCATGGAATACAGGGTGTAAAACTTAATGGTTGTCCTTCAGGTCTGTACTTGCCTTCTTTAAGTGTACTTTTGTCCATACTAACACTGTTCTCTTTCTATTTTTGGAGGTCTTCACAGATTTGAGTGTTTTTTGCAATGATTGATTGAGTGTTGGCTTTTGTGTTCTTTAATATGTCATCTCCAGCACACTTGACAATCCCAGCTGTCCACAGTCTGACACTCTTTGCATGTGTTTGCAGTCGAAGATGAGCATCCGTCAACACTGTCGCCCAAAAAGAAGCAACGCAACGGAGGCATGCGAAATTCACCCAACTGCTCACCCAAAATGATGAGGTAAGACATTGATTTCAAGACGCTCCCTCCAGCCTTCAAAAGGAAAGACAGGACGGATGGTGCTGGGATGGTGGGAGTAGGAGGAGTGGAGAAGGAGAAAGAAAGTGTGGAGGGAGAGAGAGAGGGAGGGGAGAGCAGGCCTTTCAGGCCGAGGCGTTTGAGCTGTCAGCCTGTCAGCGGTTAATGATAGAGCTGAAATATTTCTGTCATGAAAGCAGCTATGAAAAGCTGTTTGAAAAATACTCTTGCTTTAAAGTCTCAGCTGTCATCAACCCCCAGTCCCGTCCACATGTAGTTCTTAAACAGCGGTGGCACTAATGACGGTGCCAACCAATCAGAGACGCCAGCATGGTTACTTAGCCTCGGGGCTCTTCATCTATTGTGGGAACCCCTGTGAGGCGTGTTTTTCGTACTTAAGGCCATATGTGAAATGTATCATTGCAATCAAAAATGAATTCAAATATTACCTTCCTTTTATCCTGTCCGCTGAAATTAGAATGCCGCTAATTGATTTTGACTGACAAAAGGACTTGCTTTCCGCCCATGTGGCCAGGAGATGTTTATGCAGAGGTTGTAAAAAACGCAGAGACACGCCGTGGAGCGAGAAAGTGTTGCTGAAGGTTTAGAGGAAAGGACAACTTTCTGCAAAGTGATAGCCAACATGTTTGACTGTATGTATGTTTGTGTTGCAAAAAAATAGTGTTGTAATTTAGTGAAGAGCCAGTAACATTTTCTCAGTTAGTATATAATCCCAGTTTTATGTTGCAGGCTTATTTTTACTGCAATAATCGTAAACTTTTACATAAAACGTAGTAGTTTTATTTTTTCAATGTAATATATATATATATATATTAAATATTGTAGTAATAGTTGTAAAATGTAACATTTAATTAAAAATTGTTACATGAGACAGCAGTTTTATTTTATTTTTACATATTGCATTATACTTTAAAAAATGAGGGATTTTTTTGTTTTATTTTTTACTTTTCATTTTTATATTTAACATATTGTATTACTTTTTTTTTTTTTCAGTTGTGAACCACCCACAATGCATTTCTCTGTAGCTTATAATTACACCAGACAGAGGTCTCCAACATGAATCCCCCCCAAAAGAAGCAATTATGTCGAATTTTTACGTACTGTAAACTGTCAGCCCTGCAGAGGATCTCGCTCTTTAGTCTGCTTTCCAAGTGAAAATGATCAATGTTCAATTGTTTCTTTTTGCTCTCGGTTTTAAACAATAAACTGTGAGTGGAATGAAAAAAAATAGCTTTCAGCGATTGCTCAGAAGGATCTTTGGTTTTTATTCCTTAACTTACAGCACAAAACTGTTTTTCTGAGCAGATTTGAAGGTCCCCGTTTGCCATGTAATGTATGCATCGACTCTTTGATCTACAAGTGATAATAATTCTTGGGAGTTATTTACCCTGTTTTGAAACGCTTCAAAGCGGTGTCAAAGTTTTCTGTGCTTTAGGGTGCCTGTGTGTTCAGCTGGCTCTTGGGTACTGGATGACAGGTCCTCTATTCTAGGTCTAAGCTTTTTCAAGCCAGAGCCCTGCAGCGAAACATCAAAATTACCAAAGACAGACCTGTGGACTCCCTCAACCTGTGCCCTCCTTGTCAATATATTACAACATACATTAAATACCTCGCCTTTACAAGGTGCGTTTTATGCACAATGAAAAGCGATTGTTTGAGGGAGCCTTAGGGATACTTTATTCAACAAGCAGGAAAGGGAAAAACAGCCAGCGTATACCATATCAAGTATGGTTTTTACAGGCTTCTGCGCCTCCAGGCCATCGTAAATAAATAATGATCAACAGATTGGCTGTGGGTTTTTGAAAAGCATGCCTTTGTCAGTTTGCATGATAGGGAAAATTTTCAAAGCAAGGAGCTGCTTTCATAGGCTGCTGGAGAGGGATTCGGGGAGCCAGTGACTGCCGAGTGATGCACTGGAATAGCTGAACGCTGTTTGAAAACAGCTCGCCCGGCTCTCAGGGCAACTTCTGTTCTCTCTCGCTCTCTCTTTCCCCAAATGCACGTCTAGGATGCTCCTCTGGACATACCAATTAAATGGAGAACTTTCTGTCTTGCTTACGGTACCTGCTAGTTTCCTATAAAGCCTTTTATTTTCAGATTATATGTCTGTTTAAAGTGAGTGTTTTTGGCTTGGTTGTTTGCAAAAATGAAATCAAGTGGAAGATGCACTAACATTCAAAACGTTTCTTTCTTTCTTTTTTTTCAATTATTAATTCTTGTTTTTGAAACAAGTCACCAAGGCTACATTTATTCAATTATTTGGCAAAAATACAGTAAATACAGTAATATTGTGAAATACTATTACAGAATAACATTCAAATAATATTATTAAAAACAGATGTTTTCTATTTTAATATATTTTAAAATGCAATTTATTTCTGTGATGCCAAAGCTGAATTTTCAGCATCATTACTCCAGTCTTTAGTGCCACATGATCATTCAGAAATCATTATAATATCCAGATTCGGTGCTCAATAAACATTTCTTTTTATTATAAATGCTCAAAACAGTTTTTGCTTTCTGTATATATTTTTTGAAACGGTGATGCACAACCACTCAAATGTTTGGGTTAAGTAAAATGAAGAAAAATGAAGCAAAAAAGTGACAGTAAAGACATTTGTAATGTTACAAAAATTATATTTCAAATAAATTGTTTGGTTTTGTTTCGATTCATCAAAGAATCCTAAAAATGTATCATGATTTCCACAAAAAATATTAAGCAGCAAAAACTTGAAAATAACAAAAACTATTACTGATAAAATGTACCAATAATATTTTAAATTAGCATTTCAGAATGATTTCTGAAGTATAATGTGACACTGAAGAATGAAGTAATGACTGCTGAAAAGTCAGTAATATAATAATCTTAATAATTCCAGAATTTTATATTTCAAAAAAGTTTATTTAGAACATCTGAAATATTATGCAATAACAATATCACGCTTAAACACTTCAAAGGAGACACAACACATCTAATTGTAGGAAGTCACAATGCATTTGTCGGGTCTCCTAGCAGCAGCGAGTAACGTCAGATGTTTTATTCTGGAGTGGTGTGGAACGTTGGATTGTGCTTGTGACTGGCAGGCGGCTCTGACAGCGGGTGAGAGATAACTATCTTGGCAGAGGTGCACTGCGCCAGTCAGTATGTTGAGGGGAGATTGAAATGACAGAGGTCCGCAGAGTGAGTTGTGAAACACGCGCCACATAATGAAATATTCAGTCGGGGTGTAAAAGCACTAAATGCTTTCACTGTTATTAGCACCTGCACACAGCCTGATATCATCTCATGCAAGCATGCTAATCGACACATTTCTGATGTGATTTTAACAATTAAACACAGTCGAAACAGCGCGTCAGAGGATCGTGTTACTGAATTAACCTGCTTAGGAAGGTGAGAGAGAAAAAGAGGAAAACCGTAATTATGAGGTTTGTAATATGACCAGAATTTCCACATTTTTACTTCCACACATCCATTGTTGAACTTTGCATATGCAGTATTTGAATTAGAAATTTGGCAAAATTTAAGATGTCAGTGCAGTTATTTTAAGTGTAAATTAATTTTCCAGAATATTATCTGACGTTATGCAAATATAGAAAGTGAAGCAGAGGTCCCATCATTCATTATTAGTGTGATTATCAAGGGGTAATGCAATTTACAAACCTCATTTAGTGCTGTGTTAATTACAGCGTGTTACAGAACAAGGCATAGCAGGCACGGTTTTGTTATATCAGTTAAATTACATCACATGCATTTTATTTGTCATATATATATATATATATATATATATATATATTAATATATTACCAGACAAGACTGGTTTAAAACAATATAGGCTTTCATGTTTTTTGTTTGTTGAAATCCTTTGTAAATGGTTGTTAATCTGTGGATGATGATATCAGCAATAGCTGGGTCGAGCAGGCTCAGAGAGAGAGCATGTTCCCCTGCAGCCACGTCTCAGAGATGGGGCTTTGTTGTCTGCCCTGAGGCCATTTCCTCAAAGGCAGCCTTTTGGCCTGTCTCAGGCCCGGTAAAATGCTGTACGGTGGGGTTTAGTTGACAGTTTTTTGCATTTACAAGAGTTTTGTGGTTTCTCTTAAAAACTGCCATCAGAAATAGTGGAGTATCAATTCAAGAGTCACTGAGGGAGACAAATTATAACATACCTTAAAATAAAATACACAAATAGGCCTAGCACATGACTCAGGAACTGGTTCAACAGCCAAAAACTATAAAAGATAAAAATTAATCATGTTTTTTTTTTTTTTTTTTTAATACCAGTATATGTTATCAGTATATGAAATTCACTGTATGTTGTACCAGTAGTTGTACAGTATTTATGTAATTTTTTATTTTATTATATTATTATTTTTGGTGGTGCTTCCACCTCTTGCAAATAAAACCGTGCCTATTTTTTGTGCTTTAATGTTCATTTTCTCAGCATTTACAGGGATCCCAAACTGATCTGTTGACAGTCGTTTGTAAAAAAAAAAAAAAAGGCCAAACATATTTAAAGTCATTGCAATATTAATGAATTGATATTGTCAGCTAAATCATTACAAATATATTGTAAATATTTAATATACATCACACATCCCTAGTTGTTATTGTACTAATTTGCAATTATTGGACAATTCTAAGACAATATATTTATTCTGCATAAAATTGTGCAACAAATGACTGAATGTTTACACAGACATATGATGTTAGTTTTTGTTGTTGTTTGTTTTAAGAATGTTTTCAAAAAAATGAAACATCACATTTGCAATAATTAGAGTTTTTTTTTGAATTAATGATAAAAGAGTATCTGTTTATATTAAACATTTTAAGAGATCATAGGTTTATATATGTATATACATATTTCTTGTTTTCTTTATGGAGTATATTAAACGTGCAGACGTGTCCATGTTGATTACTACCAAGAAATCTGTATTTGAGGCAGAGAATGCAACAATAACAAGCTCAAAATGCCAATTTTTTGAGTTGCTATTCATACCAAACATCCCCAGACCAGACATCAAATGAACATGGCACATTTAGTTTGTGAATTCAGGTTTTCAGTCATATAGTTCTACTACCAAGCTGTTTAGAAAGCTTTCAAGGGGGTTGAATGCGAGCTGTGCCTGAGCGCTGGAACTTCTTTCACGGTCAACATGCCCCACAGATCAGCTTCTGCAGGACGCGCTGATATAGGTTAGCCTGTTTGGACGTGACACGCTGCTGAAACATTAATGGCCTTCAGTTTGGGGGAGCAAAATGTGATTGGGCAAATTCCTAAAATATTTAAAGTGCGGCTCTGTTAAAGCTTTTACCGTTGGACGCATCACTTCAGGAGTGATGTGGAGTAAAAGCCGGTAATTGGCGTTCCATTCTGGTGCCACTCAGTCACTGAAGTGCTCCGGCTCCATCTCTTCCACTCCAGTGCTGTCACCGGCGCGGACGCTTTGATGACTCCGCATTCTTGGCAGCTCGGAGAGAGCTGCCGTTATGATGGAGTCCAATGCACAAATTCAATCTGACAATGACAAGCCATGTCAGCACAGGCCTGTTTACTGCTTATTTATTGTCAATAGACGTCTGGTGAGATGTGCTGAAAGTTTGTCCTTTGACAAATGTCACAATTAAGCCCAGAAGATAAATTCCCTTTTTAAAAAGTCACTTTTTTTTTTTTTTACTAACTTGCATTTGCAAATAAGGGCAAGGGTACATGTTTTCTTCTTACACGTTTTCTCCTTCTTATGCTCTATTTCAGACACGACCCTCTACTCATTCCGGGAAATGAGCAGATTGAGAACATGGATGCTAATGTGAAAAGATACGACTCTACTGGAATGTTTCACTGGTGTCCGTCCAAAGATATTGAGAAGGTCATTCTGGTAGGTATCTTCATAACTGTAGTGTTATTGCCCATTTTTATGTCTTAAAAGTGCTTTACAAAATGTTCAGGTTAATTACTATCTTTAATCAGACAGAAACCTCCAAGCACCACCTAGTCACAAGAATGTTGTGTCTATCCTTTTTTTTTGTTTTCAGAATTTAACAAATTGACAAATCTTAAGAACTGTAAATGACAAAATGGCATATGTTTTATTAACATCCTGTAAAATTCATTCACTGTTCTTACAGCACCATGATGCATCACCCTAAAGAAATCAGAGCAACAACTAAAAAATATATACCACACTAATAACATTTATAAATTATTACAATGTAATTTCTATTTTTTTGTTTCTTACCAGTTAAACGCAATGCAAAAAACACAGAAACTGTCTGCATTGAATTGCATTATCAATATCATGATTAAAATGTAATACTGAATCAAGTATTATTAAAGCTTGCAATCATGAAATCTTTATTGCTAGTCAAGCATATAATATAATATATATATATATAAATAAATTAATATAATTTATTTTATTTATTTACACAAACAATAATTATACAATTTACAATAGTATTGTAAATTTGTCTAGTTTCACAATTTTAGAATCACAATTTTACTGACATCACTAACTCCTCAAAGTAAAGTCCCCAAGTAAAGTTTTAAATGTTTGAGGAGTGTGACATTTATTTCACACGTGTCTCTTGTTCACATTGAACTTGCATGTTTGCACATTTAGACACATGCAAACATTAAATGTGTTTATGAAACTAAAGGGAAATTTCAGAATTTGCATTTTGTGCATATGTATGTTTATTATTAGAATATGAATGCAATTTTGAACATTGTATTTTCTCCCTATGATCAAAGTAATGAAAAACATCACTAACCTTTTTGCTCATGTTATGTATTATTTGCCTTGAGCACAATGAACTGAAAGTCAATATTTTAAGGTCAAGGTGTAAGAATATTACATTTATTTATTTATTTATTTAATGACAGTATTTTGGGGGTAAGTATATATTTGCTTTTACTAAATGAATTGAATTTTGAGTATCCTAAACAGATGTATTTTACTCACTTAGACACTGTTGACGATGCTTGATGATAATGTGCTTGAACATGCATAAATGCTGTTGCCATTTTCTACAATTATATTGTTTCCTCTCTTTAATTGTTACTGTTGTTTAATGTGCTTTTTCCTCACAATTCCATATGGTGTTATTCAAACTTAATTGCTATTATGCGATTACATTTCAATCAATTAAATACATTTACAATTTCTGCCCCTTTTCATTTTAAACAATATAAAAACTACTCCTGCAGCTCATGTAGTTTTTGTATGGATGGCAGTAGATGAGCTCTTATTCTATTCTTGCTGATGAGATTGTAACTGTCGTATTTGTTTCTGGCTTTTTCATCACAGACACGCAGCGAGGCCTCCATGACGGTTTTAAGTGGACATGTAGTAGTCTGTATATTTGGAGATGTCACGTCAGCTTTAGTGGGGCTTCGAAACTTGGTGATGCCTTTGAGAGCAAGCAACTTCCATTACCACGAGCTAAAGCCCATCGTGTTTGTGGGCTCATTAGATTATCTGAGAAGAGAGTGGGAAACCCTTCACAACTTCCCTAAAGTCTCCATCTTACCTGTGAGTACACACATTGAAAATGAGCATAGAGTTTTTACACTTGGAGAAAAGAGGTCATCTGTAAATCATCTCTTAACCTTAAAAGGAGTAAGACATTGCCAGCTTTTTGCTTTGAAAAGTGCCACCACAATTTGTTCTCAAGTGTTGATGTTCTGGTTTCTCTTGGCCGTGCGAATCTCAGGCTTTGCTTCTTGCTGTAGTGCTTATTAGCATTAGCTTGACTGTGTATGAAAAACGAAGCTGCCGTCAGCAAAGGCTAGCCTTTTAGATTAGACCACATCTCTTCTTCCCTCAGCACATAGTTAGATCAGCTGAATGTCACTGCCTTTAGAAAAGTAAATACTTGTTAACTAATTTCCCTGAGCTCCTTTGCTATCTTTAATTTGTTTTCATCTTTCTTCCTCTTTCCCCTCTCTCTCTGCTGAAGGGTACGCCATTAAGTCGAGCTGATTTAAGGGCCGTCAACATCAACCTCTGTGATATGTGCGTTATCCTGTCAGCCAATCAGAACAATATCGATGATGCTTCACTGCAGGACAAGGAATGCATCTTGGCGACTCTTAACATCAAATCTATGCAGTTTGATGACACCATTGGGGTCTTGCAGGCTAATTCTCAAGGTAAGGAGTGGCTAAGAATACTTCAGCGCATAGAGAATACTCCTCAAGAGCTTTAGACTGTGAAACCAATCATTTACTGTGTGCTTTCAAAGACAACAAGGTCCAATTATATGGCAAAATGGTTTAATAAAACAAGGGATAAAAGCATGACTCGTGTTTCATATGTTTGTGCATCTAGAAACACAATAACTAGACACTTTATGCAAACATTAAATAAGTGTCTTTGCATTTTTCATTTCATTTCATGCATATGCATGTCCATTGTTAGTATACGCATGCAATTCTGAGTAAGTGTGTAAGTGTGTATCCTTCCCCTGTAATCAAAGCTCTGGAAAAAAAAGCATCCCTAATGTTTTTGTACAGATTGCGTATTTGCCTCCAATTGCTGGACCGCGGCAGATTTGTTTGCCGACAAATTGACTTGAACAGATTGTTTATGCATTCAGATAAACATGTAACCCTCTTGTGCCCATCAGGATTCATCATCATTAAACAGACTGTACAAATCAGCAGCTTCACTTTCTCAGCTGCTCTTCATTACGTAAATTACACACACCGCACAAGCTGGCCCACAAAAATTAACATTGCAACCATTATTGAGTATCCACTTTTTGCACAGAAAGATGGATTTAAAGCTTCATAATGACAGCTTTTAGATGAAATGTGTCCATAATTGTCCCAAAGGCTCACGCTGAACAGTGTGTAGTAGTGTTGGGAAGAGCACATCCCTCTGTGCTGGATGATTATAGCTTTTAATCATACTGTTGAAGAATATGTTATTATCAGGCCCAGAAGGAATCTGTTTGCAATATCTGTGCTGAGTTGGGGGAATTCTGTGGATTTAAACATTGTAAAGTGTATTAAGTGAGAGTACTGCATCCTTATTGGTGACTGTACACATAATCAAATTAGCAAAAGTATTAAATCAAATTGCAGGAGAGACATGGGATGTGTAGAAATTTGTGACTGATGGGCATTTCTAGTTCTGTGGAAATCTGTGCACTGATTCCATGCGGGCCTGGTCATTACTACGCTCTCAATTAATTTAACTCAACATCTGGCATGATCAACAGCAGAGCAATAGTGTGTAATAAAGATTTATTTCATTAACACTGAGCATATTAGAACATATTTTATCAAGCAATTAACAGTTTTTTTGTTCTCAGAGTATTCCCAAGTAAACATTTGCACCAATAGAAATAACAAATGATTCATTTTTCTTCCATATTGTAGTTCAAACTGGGCAGACATAGTTATTTTTTATTATTATTATTATTATTAATGTTACATGATTACACATCATAATTTAATTTTCTTTAAGGCAGAAGGATCCATATAAGAAATGTATTTAAAAAAATTATTGTATTGAAATCTTTATGAGATAGAGGTGTAACAAATCACATCATACCACATCATCTCTGTAAATATTCTTGCCCTCAGCACCTCGTCGTTTCAGTGAGGCTTATTAAACTTGTGCAGAAGGTGTTATTGAATAAATCAGCTAGCCTTTTGCCAGGAGAAAGTACTACACTGGGCACTACTAGAAGTGCTTTAGGGGTTTTTGAATAAAGTACACAAAGTCCAAGCTACATAATGCATTACCATTGAAAACTACAACACAAGGCAGAATTTAGAGCATGACTTTAAGGTTTGTGTGTATGTCTGTTTGATCGATGTGCAACAATAAACACGCAGTTGCATATGACCAAGTGAAATGTGGTTAGGCTTGAAATAACGGCCTTAAATTAGATTGGTATTTAATTATTTTTTATGTCAAACGTTAAAAGATAGTAGACAGTTTTAACATGTTTAAATTAAAATGGGATATTTCTATAAAAATTTTATCAAAATAATCTGTATAAACTACTGTAAACACAAACAATCTTTCTCTGCTTTTCAATTCTGGAAATGCTGTACTGGAGATGGTCTTCAATATTGTTGCTTCATTGACAACTGTCTTTAATATCACAGTCTCAAACATAATATCTTTGTTTGGAGATGCTCAAATATGAATATTCAGTTTCAGTTAACGTTAATTTTGGCAGCTGTGTGTGTTTTTTCTTAGTCTTAGTCCTGTGTCAAATGTCCTTTTTAGTTTTTATCAAATGCAGTCAAGTTGTTGTTGTTGTTGAATTTTAGTCTACAGTAGTTTTAGTCAATTAAATCTTAGTCACATTTTGCATAATTGTTAAACTGATAATCACCGTTAGTTTGCTCAAAATTATAATCATGTTTACCTATCATGACTGTTGATTATTATAGATTAATTGTTACAGAATTATTGCACTTTCATCTAAGCATGTGCATGGTTTATTTAACATTATGTAATTTTCTGATTTATTATATTATCAGAAATATAAACACACTCTCTACTGTACACTATGTAAAACTCAAAAGCTGAAACAGTGACATTGCTAATATTAATATTATATTAAAGGGGTCATATGATGCTGTTTTAAAGATCATTATTTTGTGTATTTGGTGTAACAGAATATGTTGACATGCTTTAATGTTCAAAAAAACACATTCTTTTTCAAATACTGTACATTATTGTAGGTCCTCTATGCCCCGCCTCTCTCAAACGCTTCGTTTTCTACAAAGTC